AAAATATCATGCTCAATATCTATATTGATATGGACTGAATAAATCAAAGTGAAAAAATGATGCAGCAGGCTAGTCCAATTTTACTGAAATTTCATTGCAGCAACTCAAAATTGTACTCAGTATTTTGTATGGCCCCCATGTACTTGTATGCATACCTGACAACATTGGGGCATGCTCCTAATGAGATGACGGATGGTGTTCTGGAGTATTTCCTCCCAGATCTGGACCAGGGCATCACTGAGTTCCTGGAGAGTCTGAGGTGCAACCTGACAGTGTGAACCGAAACATGATATCCCAGAGGTGTTCTATTGGATTTAGGTCAGATGAGCATGGGGGCCATTGAATGGTATCAATTCCTTCGTCCTCCAGGAACTGCCTGCAAACTCTCGCCACATGAGGCCAGGCATTGTTGTGCACCAGGAGGAACCCAGGACCCACTGCACCAGTGTAGGGTCTGACAATGAGTCCAAAGATTTCATCCAGATGCCTAATGTCAGTCAGGGTGCCATTGTGTAGCCTGCAGAGGTCTGTGTGTCCTTCCATTGATATGCTTCCCCAGACCACCACTGACCCATCACCAAAACGATTATGCTGAATAATGTTACAGGCAGCATAACATTCCCCACGGCTTCTCAAGACCTTTTCATGTCTGTCACATGTGCTCAGGGTGAACCTGCTTTCATCTGCAAATGCCAGTTGAGCTCTATGGTGTCGGGCAGTGAGCACAAGGCCCACTAGAGGACGTTGGGTCCTCAGGCCACCCTCATGAAGTCTGTTTCTGATCATTTGGTCAGAGACATTCACACCAGTGGCCCGTTGGAGATCATTTTTTAGGACTCTGGCAGTGCTCATCCTGTTCCTTCTTGAACAAAGGAGTATATACAAATCCTGCTGATGGCTTAAGGACCTTCTATGACCCTGCTCAGCTCTCCTAGAGTAACTGCCTGTCTCCTGGAATCTCCTCCATGCTCTTGAGAGTGTGCTGGGAGACACAGCAACCCTTCTGGCAATGGCACATATTGGTGTGCCATCCTAGAGGAGTTGCACTGCCTGTGCAACCTCTGTAGGGTCCAAGTATCGCCTCATGTTACCAGTAGTGACAGTGACCCTAGCCAAATGCAAAACTAGTGAAAAACAGTCAAAAAAGGTGAGTAGGGAAAAAATTGGCAATGGCTTCCACCTGTAAAATCATTCTTGTTTTGGGGTTGTCTCATTGTTGCCCATCTAGTACATTTGTTGTTAATTTCATTACCACCAAAGCAGCTGAAACTGATTAACAACCCCCTCTGCTACTTAACCGACCAGATCAATATCCCAGAAGTTTAATTGACTTGATGCTATACTCTGATAAAAAAGGGTTCCTTTAATTTTTTGAGCAGTGTACATAAAATAAATTCTGAACATATGATCAATAATATCAGGTGAATGTGTGCACTAATATATAATTTGCAAATTATGGTCCATGTATACTAAGCTGAACGTGAACATAACTCTTTCCGGGCTGGATCCTTATCTTGATCCACTTTTTCTTGCAGAATATTCATACAAAAATATGCTGTCCACCTATATTAAATTTCTCTAAATGTACAACAAAATGTATAAGTGTCCAATCTTTTCCACTTATCACCGGTGCTTTAAATGATAAATCTCATTCAAAGTGCACATTCCATCACCCCAAATGGTAATGCTCTCATCTTGATCATAGACCTAACATATAGTAGGTTATATGAGCTTGCACCTTTAAATGGGGTTCCTATAAACCACAGCACCGATCTCCACTCCAGTCTCCATGTCCTTTACAATCCAGTGCCTTCCTCTATAATTTTCCAGACTAGGGCATGGAATAGTATTGGGAGAGGATCATCTGCTAACTGATGTTGAGAACTGGAAAAAATAGGCGCTGTGGAAAATGCTCTCAGACAAGCACCTTAGTGAAGGTGCATCTTTATTGGGTGAGACAAAGTAGCAAATATAATAAAATTGACCAGCCTGAAGTGGACAGTGTGACTCCAATGGATGGCCCGTCCGCTCTGAGGGGAGCTGAGATCAGAGAATGCTCCTGTCGGCTTCAAATCATGTGGTGTCAAGACGACATGTTTCGCGTAGTTGTGCTTTGTCAAGTCTCAAGCGCAACTGCGCGAAACATGTCGTCTTGGTAACCCTACATATGCTCCCAGCTGAAGCCAACGCCAGACACTGCCTTCGCTTGCCATGGTGACACCACCCAGGACGCTGGTACGCTGACACCATGTGATTTGAAGCCGACAGGAGCATTCTCTGATCTCAGCTGCCCTCAGAGCGGACGGGCCGTCCATTGGAGTCACACTGTCCACTTCAGGCTGGTCAATTCTATTATATTTGCTACTTTGTCTCACCCAATAAAGATGCACCTTCACTAAGGTGCTTGTCTGAGGGCATTTTCCACAGCGCCTATTTTTTCCAGTTCTCTTCATCATGCAAATGATTAACAAGGCAGCAGTGGTGAGCTCATGATTAACTGTTCACATGTTTCCACCTGGAGTGGCCTCTCTGCGCTCATTTGTATGAGTTTCCTTAACTGATGTTGAGTATCTCTCACAATCAGGTTCTGCACTTCTGCCCCAAAATGGTTTAATAAGGGGGGGCAATCCCACCAAAGGTGTAAGAATGTACCTTTTTACCCGTACCCTCTCCAACAAAGTGCATATGTCAATGTGTGTATATGAGACAACTTCTCCAGGACCCTATATCAATGAGCTAAAAATGTGTAACGACTTCTGCATCTTCGAATTAACAGAGGAGGTATGGGCCAACACAGTAAATCCATCCATACTATTCTCTGATAGGCTAAGCAGTCATGTAAGGTTTTACCTATCCAGGCACAGCAGGAATAAGGAATCTGCTAAGTAATGCAGAGCATACAAGTTTCACTTTTCCCCAGCAGCACAATTTTGGGAGTGGGTGGGTGATGCAGACTGGCAGGAGTCAAGGTTCAATGTGAAGTATAACAAAAATTACTCTTGGTTGCTGTTGAGAATGCATGGGCAGTGATAGAAAAGGAGTGTTTGCAATTTTTGTTTTATGATATATGGTTGGTCTCTGCCTTCTGCTACTGAGACAGGAAACAGTGACTGCTCATGCCTTTGACCTTTTTCTTTCTTGTACAGCTTAATGTATGGTACTGCATTTTTTAACTCAGTAGTATTTTTTAAAGAAGTGACTGACAGACAAACCAGTCATTTGACAACTTTACTGGAAATTCTTTTACCATCGTTACAAATCACAGACCAAGTAATTTTTATTGCATGTTAAAATTTCAGATTCTTCAGTGGGAAATTTGGAACTCAGCAAAAGATTTATAGCTTGTTTATTGTCACAGCCATCATATCTGCTTTGTTTTGAAACATTGGGCCTTTGAAAGAATTACTGTTTTTTGCACCCAATTGCTCATTGCTGAACTTTTGAACCCTGCAAGCATTTCACATAAAATTCACATTTGCATTCACTAGCACTCACCCTGATAAAGCATCAAGGAAGGTGAATGTGTCTGAATGGTATGTACAGATGCATCTCAATAAATAAAATATCATTAAAAACTTAATTTATTTCCGTAGTTCTTTTCAAAAGGTGAAACTCATATTATATAGATTTATTACACACAGAGTGATATATTTCAAGCATTTCTTTCTTTTAGTTTCTTTTAGATGATTATGGCTTACAGCTAGTGAAAACCCAAAATTCAGCATCTCAAAAAATTTGAATATTGTGAAAAAGTTCAATATTGTAGACTCATGGGGGCTGATTTACTAAGGCTGGAGAGTGAAAAATCTGGTGCAGATCTGCATAGAAACCAATCAGCTTCCAGGTTTTATTGTCAAAGCTTAACTGAACAATCCGAAGTTAGAAGCTGATTGGCTACCATGCACAGCTGCACCAGATTTGGAGTGCTCCAGTTTTAGTAAATCTCACCCATGGTGTCACACTCTAATCAGCTAATTAACTCAAAACACCAAGGTTTCCTAAGCCTTTAAATGTCCTTCAGTCTGGTTCAGTAGGTTACACAATCATGGGGAAGATTGCTAATTTGACAGTTGTCCAGAAGACAGTCATTGACGTCCTCCTCAAGGTGGGTAAATCACAAAAGGTCATTGCTAAAGAAGCTGGCTGTTCACAGAGTGCTGTATCCACGCATATTATTGGGAAGTTGAGTGGATGGAAAAAGTGTGGTAGAAAAAGGTGCACAAGCAACAGGGATAACCGCAGCCTTGAGAGGATTGTGAAGCAAAGACCATTCAACATTGTACATAGACGGTGGATGGGAAGCTTTGCAGTAGCGGGCTAACGTACCTGTACATCAGCCCGCATCAATGGCTCCTGCGCGGCTCACAGAGCATGCAACCCGGAGCCCGGTAATCGGTGTGTCACCCAGACAAAGCAAATCACATTACTGCTGTGTCCAGATGATCACATGGTGTTTTACCACTTGACTGCTGTGACCAATAACAGCACTTACATAGTAAACAATGGAAAGTGAAAGTAAAGATCACTTCTCTCTGCTCACAGAGAGCAGAAAGAAGCAATCCTACAGTGTGTGAGTGTCAGGCTGCTTGTACACTCACAGACTGCTGTTCAAGCCACTCCAGTGTCCATGTGTCCCTGATCACTGCCCCAGTGTATACATAATAAAACATGCAGCCAACCACTTTCACCTGTCCCAGTGTGCACAAAAACACAACCATACACCAAACCAATGTCCTGATCATCGCCATACTAGTGTCCTGATCACCACCATTCCTCAAGGCAACACCCTGATCACTTCCATGTGCCATACCAGCACTCTCATCTCTGCCATACACCATACCAGCACCCTCATCCCCTCCATAAACCAATTACTGAATCCTGATCACTGCCATGCCTCATATAAGCATCCTGATCACCCCATATGCCATGCCAGTGTCCTGATCACTGCCATACTCAGTACAAGCATCCTGATCACTGCAATACCCCATTCCAGCATCCTGATCACCAATGTACCCCATACCAGTATCCTGATCACTGTCATGTCCCATACCAGCATCCTGATCATCCCATAGACCATGTCAGTGTCCTGATTACCGCCATACCCCATACCAGCATCCTGATCACTGCCACACCCCATACCAGCATCCTGATCACCACTATACCCCATACCAGCATCCTGATCACCGCCATGTCCCATACCAGCATCCTGATCATCTTATAGGTCATGCCAGTGTCCTGATCACCGCCATACTCCATATCAGCATCCTGATCATTGCCATACACCATAGCAGCATCCTGATCACCCCCACACCATATAGCAGCATCCTGATCACCGCCATACCCCATACCAGCATCCTGATCACCCCTATACCCCATATCAGTGTCCTGATCACCACCATACCCCATACCAATGTTCTGATCACTGCCATACCCCATACCAGCGTTCCTATCACCGCCAAACCCTGTATTGGTATACTGTTCACCGCCGTACCCCATACCAGCATTCTGATCACCTCCGTACTCCATATCAGCATCCTGGCTACTGCCATACCAGCATCCTGATCACCATCACACCTCATGGTAATGTCTTTATCACCTCCATACCCCATACCAGCGTCCTGATCACTGCCATATGCCATACCAGCGTCCGGCATTTTAAGGTCTCAACTGATCAATTTTCAAATATATATCCCATACTTTGTAGACCAGCATTTCTCAATCAGGGTGCCTTGAGGTTTCTTCAGGGGTGCCTTGGCAAAATGTCCAAAAATTGCCCAAAACTTGTATACAAGCCAGTGGGTGGAACAAGCCTGCCTTTTAGTTACACAAAGCCACAGGTTTTCATTACAGGCACACAGGCACCATTACGGCCTTCTAGTCGCAGGTGTCCTGACAGCCAATAACACCATTAGTTCATAAGGAGGGTCACCTGCACAGCATCCTAGTTTGATCATCCCCTGCCCCTCTCTGTCTGTGCTGGGGTCACATTAGCTCAGTGATGGAGAAAAACTGAGGGAGAAGAGAAACATTGGAATACTAGTCAGTACCAGTGTGCAGAAGTATATTTGCTTTGAAAGAATAAATCACCTCTAATGTTGGGTGTCCTACATGTGTGGATATTGCTGTGTTATATAAAACTATTAAAATAGTTTTCACATTTTAGAATGGGGTGCCTCAAGACTGTCCATAATTTTAAAGGGTGCCTCAGAACTGTCCATAATTTTAAAGGGTGCCTTGACTAAAAAAAAGGTTGGCAAACACTGGTATAGACTCTATAACGTTCACACAGACTAAATAATATACACTGTTTTTGGGTTATTTTCCCCCCAAAAAATGTAGCAAAATACATTTTGGCCTAAATTTATGAAGAAAAATATTTTTTTTTCAAAAAATATTCAGTATTTTTTCATTTATATAGCAAAAAATAAAAAGTGGTGGTGATCAAATACCACAAAAAAAAGCTGTCTCTGTCTCAAAATAGGATAAAAAGTTCATATGGGTATAGTGTTGCATGGCTGAGTAATTGTCACTCAAGTGGTTAAAAATATTAGTAGAGGTTTCACTGGCATACATATTTTTATTCATTGGCAAATATATGTAGAATTTGCTTTCACAATCAATATGTTTTGAGGTCCTGGGGTAGAAAGAAAAAATAAACTTATCTGGAAGGTTCTGACAGGGCAGCTGAAGGATCTAAAGGTCTCAAGTGCACATGCTAAACACAAGGCCAGAGGGCTGAATTCAGCCCTCTAGGCCATTTCATGTGGCCCTCACACTCAGGGCTTTTTTTTAGCCGGAATGTGGCGGAGGTTCAACCATCTTTGGTTTTCACCCACCGCTCCCACTACAGTCACTTGTTCTCACAGAAGCCTTCTGTGTTTGCAAGGACAAAACTTTCCTCTCAGCAGCTTTGGGCTCTTACATATCCATGCCTGCCCCGCAAGCACTCATGGCGGGGCACAGCAGGGACAGATGCTGACTAATGATCTCACTGCAAGTGAGAGAGAGAAACAGAGCTGCCTATACTTCCAGGAGGTACTAGAGCCAGGCTGGGTAGGTGATATGTGAGGAAGCTTTTGGGGAGGGGGAGAGGAGATACAAGAGCTATGGAGAGAGATGTGTGCAGAGGTGGGAGATGAGGGAGAGTGGTGCAGGGGTCAGAGCCAATGGGGAGGGGTGGAAAGTGAGTTGTGGACTGCTTGTAAATAAGAGATGAACCCTGCACACTGTATATAGCACACCCTAAACCCTGCACTCTGTATGTAGCACACTCCTCAACCCTGCACTCTTTATGCAGTGCACCCCTAAACCCTGCACTCCCAAATTCTGAACTTTGTGTGTCACATATCTCTGAACTCTGCATTTTGTATGTAGCGCCCTTCTGAACTCAGCATACATAGGCATATGGCTACAACTGGCCCTTTGAGGGCAACCGTAATGCTGATGCGGCCCATTATGAAATTGAGTTTGACACTCCTGGTCTAAAGGAATAAAAAAGTTTATTTTTTTTTCATATGTGAATATATGCGAAAATGTATTGTTCCCAGCTTGCAGTCCAGGAATTGCTGCTTGCAGGCAGCAAGGTACCATGGGATATGTAGTCTTTAGAAACTGAAAGTAAACATCAGGGGAGAAGCTGCAAAGCATACAGGGAATGCAGGAAGTTGTGGAAAGCGATTACCAGCAGACAGGCAGAATTCACAACACAAGGAGGTTGTTTAAGTAAGCACATATTAGTTATATATTATTTATATATATCACTATTGTTTGTATTGTTATTAGAATGCTGATGTTAAAAAGAACTTGTGTAATTGCATCAAGCATTGGAAACCTATTGAAATTTTTATACAGTACATGATATAATAAAATACTGTATGCATATGGAAAGAGATTTTATCAGGTCATGTTCATTTTATCTATATTTTCTTCCAATATATGTAAATTTAAATTCACATAGAATAAATGTGATACAAGTGTTCACAGACTCAAAATGGACTGAGTAAAATAATTGTTCATATCTGTCTACTAATAATCTTTTTTTATTCCCTTCATGTTTTCATTTCTCTTTTAGAGACAATCCAATAAAAGGGAAAGTGACAAGGCTATGTCACAATCTATGGTGCTTGACAAACTGCAGAAGCACACACTGGACCCAGGTGATGTACTAGACTGATTTCTATGACATGTAAGAGGTAGTTCCATAATAGTGGAATATTGGTAGTTCAGTCTTATAGGCAAGAACTGAAAGGTATTACATGAGCTTTAAAATATACAGAGGGAAAAATAGAAAAGTGTGACATTAGAGTGATATTTGGGGTATTACAGAGCTTGCTCTCAAGCACTGTCTAAGAATGGATGATGACAATGCCTACAGAGAGAATGTGTTAAAGACTTTGAACTCCTTTTTATAAAACAGCATAGACTCTTTCCTTCTACAAACTATATATCTAGCTGAAAATCCTTGTACATAAAAACAACATAGATCAGTAGACTGCTATGAGCGTAATGTGAGCCTAGCATGAATGCAGGTCACACAATAAAGCTAATACTAATTATTTATGGCTAGTTTCCTGCAAGGTATAACCTGCCCTGAATTTGAAAGCATATGAATAGAGATAGGGCATGATACATGCATGTTAATTTCCCAGTTTCCAAAAGATAATGAAAATCTTCTAAAGGAAAGTTAATGGCAGATTAAAAGTCAGCATGCATTTATTGTCTGAAATAAAAGAAGCACTAAAACAAAATTATAGGGACTCAAATATTATATTCCACTGTAAAACGATATAATAAAATTCAATGGTTGTGATTAGGAGCATATTTTTCATTTAGTAGACATGTACATTTTTTGTTAGTATTTCTACTGTGTTCTATGTCCCAGGCTGTGTTATGTTGAGTTGTATCTATTAGGTTAGCACCATTAGGGTACAAGTGTGTAACATATGTGGAAGGTGACAAGGAAGTAATTAATATATACCACCATCTGTTTCTTCTCTGTACCAAAGCTAAACAGCAGTCATGCTGCTTTTGTTAGACTAACATCTGTCACAATTAGCTGAAACGTCCAATAAGACCCATGATGTTTTATATTATACATTGCAACTTGACTACAATGTTTTGGTAAAATGCATTGATGTTAATGTGGTTTGTCATAGTGCTTCTGTTGCCCATATGGAATGTTTTTACAAAGGCCTGTATGTATCCTCCCTGTCATTTTTTACTTTTTATGTTCTTTACCAGCATTTCAGAAAATGGAAGAACAAAAACTGTGATTATTTCCATAGTAGCTAGCCAGTTGTTATTTATCTACAGCAGGTTAGAAAATAAAGGAAAAGCTCTCAATGGCTCCCATCATGAAAATATAACCAATGGTAAGTACACTTTCTCTTTAAATTGCAAAGCACTTCAGGGGAAATTGGTTTAACTTCAGGGCTGAGACATGCAATATGGACTAGGAGCCTCTAGGGATACATATTTCAGTGTGCCAAAGCTTGAAAGCAGCACTCAGGAGCTCCTTCAGTGGGAATGCCAGGGTCTAAAGAATAAGCCCACCTTTAGGAGCATGTTACACCTACATTTAGCGTGTAATATGTAACATGCTTCTATGGACCCACCTCCCGCCACTAATACTCCCCTCTTTGTGACAACAGGTAGGGGATCTTCTTCCTGTACCCTCTTTCACAATTTGAAAACAGCATGGCTGTGTGGGGCTGTACCCACGAGGCTACATCATGCATTCACGGTTGCCTGTGAATAAATAGACTACAAGTACCAGCAGCCATTGCAGCTGATGGCTTGTAGTTCTCAATGAACTGCAAGGGTGCTGGTGAACGCTCTCATAGTTTATTAATTCTTCTTGCCATTCAGTAACTGCCTGCTCATACATGAAGTATGGGCAGGCAGCTTACTGAGAGTCTGCAGGATCCTGGCATTGCATCCATGATCTGTTGATTTGGGTTGCAATGCTTAACAGGCTGCGGTGTTGTTAAAAAAAAAATAAATGCACATTTTTTAACCTGCTAAATGATGTGCATTTATTATTTTTTTACAGGGAACTTAGCCTTTAAATCTCTCTGGAAAACCAATTTTCATCTGTATGATAAAGCAACATTTGTCATTAAATCTGCATGGTCAACCAGCGTAGTCATCTTGAAATATTTTTTGTTATATATATTGGCTTATGGTTTAGCTCTATCTAGAATGCAAGTCTGCTTTTATTTTATAGGAATTCCATGTTGCTGTAAAAGTACTGTAAAAATATCTACTTGGCAGGGCTACCATGGAAGTTTAAATATAGGAGTAAAAAAGAAATATATAGCTCTTACCGCTCCAACCGCTTAACAAAAATATTTTATCATATACAGTATAAAGAAATCTTAAAGACACAAAACACAAGTTAAAAGCAAAGGTGTACCTATTAAAAACAAGCTCTACCCAAAACAATCATCATAGAGAAGAAAATGCATAGATATATCCTAAAACATATATACATATACTGTACACAAACACATAAAAACACCAAGGATGTAATAATCACATAGGAGTAGTAGCGGTGCTCTCAAAGTGATAGTGATGCCTTGAATGATTGCATAAGGAAAATCGTGGATGTTGGAGTGAGTGGAAATAACTGTAGAGAAAT